AGGGTACTATTCGTATGATTGGGGTGTTGGGGGAAGTGATTCAAGGACATGCCCCATGTGACAACAATAAGGCAAATGGGCTGCTGAGCTGGCTGCTGAATTTCTGGTTGGTTCTCTTGCTATCGGTATGTGCGAATTGCCAGCTCACCACCTAACTACAAAACCCCAACACCTACGCTGCAAGACTTAACCCTTAAGCTTCCTAAACCAGAAGCATGAACACTGAAGAGCTTAAGCCATCGACATTTCCTCGGCTCAGAGTGGGGGGGGGCTTACCATGCAGCAGCTCAGCACCTACAGCCCCAAAGCCGTAAAGCTAGAAGCCTTGCGCAAAGCCTGCGCTAAGCCCCCCGAAACCCCACAACGTAAATTCCGACGCACCTGAGACCCACCCCACTTCAGCCCCTACACCCTAAACTCTAAACCCTAAACCCTAAACCCTAAACCCTAAACCCCTAAGCCCTAAACCCTAAACCCTAAAGCCCTAAACCCTACACCACTAAACCCTAAACCCTAAACCCTAAACCCTAAACCCTAAACCCCACACACACGGTTGAGGGTTCCCCAAAACAGGGCCCGATACAAAGCGGGCTTTGCCTTTGATACAAAGCGGGCTTTTCGTTTGGGCTTGAGCCCCTCAACCACGAATCACAAAACCCTCGACAACTAACTCCTCCCAGAAAAGCCGAGTTAACCGTTTTCTGAACCCTTCACGAGACCCGTCAAAATCGCTGTCAAAACCCTAAACCCCTAGACCCCTAAACCCCAAACCCTAAAGCCCTAAAGCCCCAAAAACCTAAACGATCGCCACCACATGGATCTCTGAGCTGCCATGGCATCGGGAAAGCAGCACTCCATTGCACGTAGCGTGAGTGGGATCTCTATGCGCCTTCTCTTTCCCACTAGTCTGGGCTTTGGGGGTTTAGAGTTTAGGAAATTGGGGGTTTAAGAAGTTTAGGGTTTAGGCTTTTTGGGGTGTGGTTAAGCTTTTAAAGTGCTGAGTGTTGGTTTGGGGGTTAAGGCTTCGAGGTTCTGCGGGGTTTGTTTGTTTGTTTAATGGCGGTTTGTAGGGGTTGGGACTTTGTGAGATTTATGGTTTAGGCCTCTTGGCTGGGTGTGTTACAGGGTTTTGGGCCCTGTGTGCCGTAGGGCTCTATGGCATTCAGGGTTTCGAATTTGTGGTTCTTTGGGGTTTTTAGGCTTCAGGGATCTTTGCCAACTAATTACGACGGTTCAAGCGTAGCCCCATGTACCCTCAAAGCCCAGAATCCTAAAGTCCCAAATGTGTAACAAGGCTAACCGTGGTGCCAGGCTCAAAGAAGTTAGCTGTGGCACCAGACCCGTATGCATAGAAAGACAATGGGAGAACTTTTAGTCTTTGTTGGAATTATGACTTTGGGCTATCTGGTTCATGAATGATTTAGGCTTCTGCAATGGTTTCGCTCAGAACGTCGACTCGCCCATACCCCAAAACCTCCAATGTAAAACTGCGTACCCATAGGGCCCATAGTAGTTCCTTTTTGGGATTACCTTATAGGGTTCTAAGTATGAACCCCCCAAAAGGGAACTACTATGAGGCCTATGGGTAGGGCTGAGGGTTTTTCTGCCATTGCCGGGGTTTTGGGGGCCTAGGGCTCGGATTTAGGACCGGCCCGAGGTTTCCGATCCTTAGCTTTCAGGCCCTAATATAGACGCCTAAACAATTACCTATACTATTGTTAGGGCTCGAATGGCCTGCAAGGGCAGGAATATCGGCAGCCCCAGTTCCCGTAGAGTCGCCCCATATGGGGAAGGGAACGCCTTTGACATCAAGCATGGTGAGCCGTGCTGTCTATGAGCTCTTGGAGTATGGGGATTCGGTTTCGCTTCGAGAGCTGCGCCTGGTCTTACAAGAACGGACATGCATCGACCTGACATCCCAGAAGTCCTTCATAAGGCAAGTGGCAGAGGATACTTTCGCGACCCTGACTTCCGGTCTCGACTTGATGCAGTTGCCGCTGGAACAAGTAGCACGACTGAGCGATCCGTATGTCGGTAAGTGGGAACCTTTGTGCCGTACAGTTGCTACAGGTGCTGCTGGTGCTGCTTTTCCGTGCATGACACGTGGAAGCGTGCTGTTCACAGAGCTTCACGACCTCGGCGGCGCCATCGTTGTGCCTTCTATGTTTATCTGTGCTGGGACTGACAAGGTGCCAAAGGCGAATGCGTGGCATGGTAGCCTTGCGAGGAACACATGCTGCCATTCCAGGTTGTCTTCAGAATCTGTGGGACAATGTGCACATGAACATCGCCGTGCTGTG